ATTGCTCAAACTTTGAAAAAGATGTAGACATCCAGGTATAGGTGGCATTTAGAAACCCAAACAGACACGACCAGAAAAGAACTTCCCAATATTGCATCATAGATAAAATTGCAAGAGAGCTGAACAGGAAAAGAATATTGAATGCGGCGAGGTAGAAAAAACAAGTCACTTGTAAAGACAAACACATTGAAATGACTTCAGACTTAGCTGCAAAAATATGAAAGGTCAGGAAAGCATAGAATGATGTATTTCAAGCTCTGAAAGAAAATAATTGCTAAGCAAGATTATTGTATCCTGCAAAGTGATCCTTCAAAATTGAAAGAAATTAATGACCTTTCAAGATAAGCATAATTAAAGAAATACATTAGCACTAAATATACATTGCAGAAGACATTTAAAGGAATCCTACACAGAAAAGAGAAAGAGTGGAGAAAACTACTGATAAATAGGAAAGAACATAACACTACACAAACAACAAAATGACAGGAATTAGCACACACTTTTCTGTAACAACTTTGAGAGCAAATGGTATTAACACTCCAATTAAAAGACACAGATTGGCTCACTGGATTAAAATAAACACTCAACTCTATGCTGCTTGCAAGAAACACACCTTACTAACAAAGACACCAAGCAGACTGAGAGTGAAAAAGTGAAAAACATTATTTTGTGCAAGTAGAACCCCAAAGCAAGCAGGAGTACCTACACTCATAATGGTAGGGCTGGCTTTAAGACAAAAATAATTAAATGAGACAAAGAAGACCAGTGTATAGGGGAAGTAAACAATCAACCAACAAGTTATCATAATTGGAAATTATATGCACTGAGCACTAATGTACCCAACTTCATAAAATCCCCACACTACCCAACATAAATAGATTCATAGATCCCAATACAATAATAATGGGTAACTTCAATAATCCATTCTCATCAATAGATAGGTCATCCAGACGAAGAAGTCAACAGAGAAACTTCAGAGTTAAATGACAGCACAGATCAAATGCGCTTGATAGATGTCTACAGAACATTCCATTTAACAACCACAGAACATACATACGTTCTTCTCAACATCTCATTAAAAAAATCTCTAAAATAGGTCATATTTGGGGCCATAAAGTACATGTCAGCAAATGCAAGACATTGAAAATTTTCTTTCAATTTCAGATCATCAATGAGAAATCAATGAAAAGGGAAATCCAAATAAGGGAAAACATCACATGGTTTGAAATTAAGCAATGCACTTCTAAATGATCAGTGGTCTTTTGGAGAAATCAGGAAAGAAATTAAGAAATTCCCAGAATGAAGTAAAAGTGTTTCCTATATTATTACATTAGTTGTCTGTTTTAGCACATCCTTACTTTTCTACTATTCCAAGATGCTCATTTTTCAGGCACTCTCAGGCCAGATCTCCCAGTAGGCAGTTTTTTTAAGGCTGTGAGAATGCGTTTGGAGAATAATATTAGAGACACAGAAATCAACACTAGAAGGTTGTGTTTTATTCTAGCCCCTTAGTGTCATGTATCGCCCAAATTAATATGTTTAATTGTAGGAACAAGTTACCAATTATTCTCATAATCTGAGATAAATTGAAAATTAACTTCCTTATCACATCTGGCTCATGTTCTTAATTGGGAGGGAAGGGACACTTCAGGGAATGATTTCCCCAGGCTCCTGGACTGGGCACCGTTCATACTAAATACACATGCAGGGAAGGTGAATGCCAAGGACTTCTTAGGGAAATGCTGGATTGAGCTCCGTTTCAGCAAGTGCTGAAAGAATCTGGAACCAATTTAGTTTCCTTCCCGCATGCAGAGGGGAATGTAGACTTCTTTGTGAAATCAAAGAGATCCTGACTCCAGAATGATCACACATTATCAGACCCTCTTCAAAACTTCTCCTTTGAGTAAGTAGCCTTCAAATCATTTTGGGAAGGAAAGTGGGCAAACGAACATTATAACAGCTCATTACTGTCTTACCAAAAATCCTAAGATTTGTAATTAAATTATGTATATTCTTTATGTAGAAGATGGGTCAGACTAATGTTGTAGTTGATAGCTACACCAGGCACTTGAGGAAGGATAGGCTGATTGGGTATGAGATGCTTGGGGGTGTTTCACAATCTTATAGTGAGCAATGGAAATTAAAGTCACTCACGGTATTTTCCGATGGAAATAGAGGCTACTAGGCATGGCTATTGATTGACACATGGAAGTGGAAGAAGTAATCAAACAAAAATAATGACATCTACTGAGAATTTCAAGATTTGATTCACGAAGGTGTGTGGGCACAGGGCAACAGACCTCTGTTCTCCTCAGTGAGAACTAAGCATAGAATGGTATGGGGCATAACTGAATTGAATCTTTAGAAAATCTCTTAATTTTGTGAAGAGGCTTCATGCTAGCACACACAATTCTTAAACCTAGTGTTCATATCTATAACTTATGTGTGCTACACAAACATGTCAGGATGTCTATCTGTCTAGATCTGTTTTTCACACAGATATAGAAATACAGATCTGTATCTGTATCAAGATAGAAGACACAGATATATTATATTTCTCAGTCCATTGGCTCCAAATTAATTTTTCATTTCACTTGTTAAAGAGCTTCCATAAATATTATGCTGGAGGGCACCTGATTAAGTGAAGGTACCCATATGTAATAGTACTGTGGTGCTGCAGGAGGTAAAGAGCACAGAGTTTCATAAAATGCCTTAAAAATCCCACTGTTCACTGTGTCCACAAGAGAAGGCAGTCACGATGACGCAGTATGATGCCAATGTGAACAGCACCCTCCCAAGGTAGGGTTTACGTTTTACAACTTTATTTTATCGGTACATGTTTGCCATACATAATGATCGCACTTATCTTCAGGAATTTGTGTATGTACATAACACATCTTAATTGTAACACATTTGTGAATATTGCCAAAGTGAATGTTTTCCTCCCATCCTGAATGACAATGATTTCTTCACTCAGTCACTAAATACATTATGCTTTTAAAGAAGTCTTCTCCATGTATTTTACTCATATTCTGTTAATGAAAATGTTGCCATCCTAAGCAACGGAATCTTAATCATAATCCATAAACGGAATCTTGAATTATAATTTATGACATATGTTAGAGACAATTTCAATTTCGCACATATGTTAGAGACAATATATTCCAGAGACAACATACATAAGTGGAATAATCAGGACCTATTCCATTTTTTTTTCCTGAAAAAGACAGGATTCACTGCTGTAGAGCTGGTGTAGAGCAGGGGTGGTGAGTCTAGGGCTCTCGTACCACAGGGGCAGGCAGAACCCTCTCTGTGCACTATCCAAGTCATCCCAGCAGCCAACCTCGGATGTTCAGGTTTAATTGCAGCTTTGGCACGTTGAGATAAACAAGTGGTTTTGGGCTTGCAGTTTGGGCATCGGTCTCTAAAAGATTCGCCATCGCTGGTGTAGAGGCAAATGCATCTGCTCCATATTAATTAATATTTGTATGAAAGTTCCCTTCTTGGTTCCTTAATTCTCTTGGTGGAAGGTGGAATTGCTGCCTGTTTCACTACCAGGGAAGGGGGACAGCGTTTGCGAGTCTGAGCATCCCCCCGGCTGTGGGAATGGAATCTGGGTCAATTTCTACTTGCAGTTTATATCTTACAGTTGTGAAATCACTCCCTAAGAAATCGCAAGCACTTAAACCATCACCAAACAGATGGAAAAATGTGCAGGCTGATTCCCTCACGTTTGTCAGGGCTGTGTACTGAAATAAGTTATCAAAAATTATTTTATTCATCAGATGGGTGCAAGGATAATCAAGTGGAGCTTTAATTTCAAAGTGTTTAACTGTTAGTGAAACTGAGCTTTTTCACATTTACACTTTTTAATAAGAACATTTAATAAATTATTTATCCATGTTTAATTCTGCTGTGTCTATGACTGTGAAACTGATTTATACTACAAGGAAATTATGTTGTTCAGGTTTATATGTATATATATATATTATAGCATTTAAACACATATTTTGCTTTTGATACATTATTAGGAATACAGATATATTGTAAGTTTAAAAAGAACATTTAGTTACTATTTAACAAATACAAATAATTACTAATTCTGTTTTTATTCCTGGCTCCTCATGTGAATTCAAGGTGTGGAATACTAAACATTGTACTTAGAATTCCATTAGAATTATTAGTTATGCCTGAAGAATATCAAGATTATTTTCTAAATTCCAATGCTCACCTGAAAGGATGAAATCTGAGTCAGTGTTTTGCAGTAAGTCAGTCGATCTCCCTTCTATTTCTTATGCTAGTTTTAGTGTCTTTTCCTAAGTCATTGTGGAATGACTCAATAAATAATGACAGGAACAATTTAATTTGGGGTTGTGTAGTATAATGAAAAGTAAAATGTTTAGTAAGAGAGGGTAAATTTAGAACTCAAAAGAACTAAAAATTTTTGATAGATCAACCTGAATTAAATTTAGACAAGAGATTAAAATAAGTCTTATTCTAGATTGGAATGACTACTGTGTTCTTCGTTGTTTCATTGTTAAAAGTTTATGTTCCTTATCTTTCTCCATCTCTCTCTCTCTCTCTCTCTTTCTCTCTCTCTCTCTCTCTCTCTCTCTCTCTCTCTCTCTCTCTGGTATGAGAAGCTACTGAGCTCAAATAATGCAAAAGCCCCTAACTAACATCAACAGGTTGTTGCTTAAAGCTAATGAAAAACATGCAATTCATGAAGTATTTTCTACTTTTGCCAAATCCCCTGAAATAATCCTTCACTTTTTTTGCAGGGGCATTTTCTCCTTCCTTGTTTTCTTATTTCATTGTTTTCATGTACAATCCGATAAATGTATTAAGTGAGTGGCATAAATTCCATATTTTTCAGAAAAGCAACATAAATTAATGGCTGGTATTCTGATAGGAAGTTGTAGTTTCATGATGGAGACTCTGTATGTGTTCAGCCCCCAAATTTAGAATTCGTTTTATATTTTTTTCTTTTTTCTTGGCAGGCTAAGAGTTTCCAACCTGAGATTTCCCGATATCAAGTGAAACAATGCAGCTAAATAACAGTGTAACTGAGTTTATATTCTTAGGACTGACCCAGGATCCTCTGGGGCAGAAAATAGTGTTCTTGGTCTTCTCCGTTTTCTATGTGGGGACGGTGGTGGGGAACCTGCTCATTATCGTGACCATCAAGTGCAGCCGGACTCTGGGGAGCCCCATGTATTTCTTCCTGTTCTATCTGTCCTTTGCTGACTCTTGCTTCTCGATGTCCACAGCCCCTAGACTGCTTGTAGATGCTCTCTCTGCCGGGAAAGTCATATCCTACAATGAGTGCATGACCCAGATCTTCGTACTACATTTCTTTGGCTGCTTGGAGATCTTCGTCCTCATCCTCATGGCCGTTGATCGCTATGTGGCCATCTGCAAGCCCTTGCATTACTCAAGCATCATGAGCAGGCAAGTGTGTCTCACCTTGATGGTCCTCGCCTGCGTAGGGTCTTTTATACATTCCACAGCTCAGATCGTCTTGGCCTTGAGACTGCCCTTCTGTGGGCCCAGTCTGATTGACCATTACTGCTGTGATCTGCAGCCCTTGTTGAAACTCGCCTGCATGGACACGCGCAGGATCAACCTGCTGGTGGTGTTGAACAGTGGGGCCATCTGCTCAAGCAGTTTCGTTTTCCTGATGATCTCATATTTTGTCATCCTGCATTCACTGCGAAACCGCAGTGCAGAAGGGAGAAAGAAGGCTCTTGCCATGTGCACTTCTCACATCATTGTGGTTGTCTTATTCTTTGGCCCCTGTATATTCATATACATTCGCTCCAGGACCACCTTCCCCATAGACAAGATGGTGGCCGTGTTTTACACTTGGGACCCCTCTGAACCCCATCATCTACACCCTGAGAAATGCAGAAGTGAAAAATGCCATGAGGAAGTTATGGCATATGAAAATTACAGCAGAAATCAAAGGATGAAAAGATGGCCCAGTGTGATTACTTTACTTTTTCAGTTACACTTTGGCTGTTTAAGTATAGATTTATAATATAATCATGTCTAAGTAGTGCAAACATAAGATACTATTATGTATACCTTAAAACCCTCAAGCACTATATCTAGATATAGATATAGATATAGATATAGATATCCACTCTTAATTTCAAGAAGCATGGTTCATTGTGTCAATGGTAGATCCAGATTAATTCAAATAATTATGTACCAATACTCTTCCCATCTCAGGTTCTTTTATTTCCTTTATCCTCACCAGCTTTTGTACCCCAATCTAATTACATTTGCTTTTCTTACTAATAATCTAATAAACTGATACTCTGAGTTCCTGGTCATAAACCCGCAGCTTCCCTGAAACATTTTTTTGGAGAGCTCGCATCGGGTGCTTCGGCCTCTGAGTCTCACGCGTCTGCACCCTGGTTTAATAAAAAGGAAAACCCCACACCGTCACACATTTCAAAGCTTATGGTCACCCCTAAATAAAGCGAATTCTCTGCACTTAACTGATCCTTAGCACATTTCCAGTAAAGCAGTGAGAGGCTTCTGGGACACTCCTGTGGTGCAGGCGCTCAGGGTGTCGGCTCTGCCCATTTCATTTTATCAGTAGTCTGTGTAGGAAACGTTATGTGTTTTAAAACAGAGGCTTTTCTGGTGTATGACATTCTAAATTTATTTTTTTATTATTTTCTTTGGCTGGTGAGATGACTGGTATAATATTTGTGAGATTCTCCAAATGAAATGTTGTAATACCTGGAGATACGAAGCTATTTAACTCATGTATTGAAGCTATAGCAGAAAATGTGACTCTAAGGTATAGGAAAATAAAATAACAGATGTTGCAAAACTAAGCTAAAATATTAAACCATACTGGCAATACAATATATTTACTGAGACTGAACAGCAGCAAGAAAAAAACCTGTATTTGAAATAAAAATTATATGATCTACTTTATTTAATGAAATAAATGAAATTAACCTGATTATTTGAAAATAAGACACTTCTCTTTTGTGAGCAAATTTAAACCAGTGGTGCTGTAGGAAGATGCTTTTTTTATATTTGTGATGCTTAAAAGTTGGGTTATTTAGATTCACAAGTTAGATCTGCTAATGAAACTCTCATGCCTAAAGTTTTAGAGCAAGTGAACATCTGTGCCTTAAATGTACAAATCAAAGTTTCTGTCATGAACACCTAATGTTCTTCGACTTTGCCATATTAATGTGAATCCTAGTTTTAGTAGCTGTTAGAAAGCTCCCTCTTATTCTAAATTTTACACCTGGCTATTGAATTAGGGTAAACAATTCTAAGCACGTCTCTTGTAAAAGACAATATTTTAGTGAATTTACTGAACTAACGTAAGATGCTTTTGTGCTTATTTTGTTTGTTTGTTTCCTAAGACATAATGAAGTCCAGTGTTTACATTTCTGTCCCACAGTTGACATGTCAGGCAAAAGGACAGTCATGTATTCAAAACACAATAGCGATATGAGGCCACCATAAATATGTTTAATCTTGTCCACTGTAACAGCAACACACACACACAATGTAAACTATTTCTATTAACACTTTTTATTATTTATAAGGCACATGATGAATATAAAACTAATTTTAATACAAGAAAATGATTAGACATGTAATGTATTTAAGAAAAATAAATGATCTAGAATCAATAAGCAAACTTTTACACTAAGAAACAGAAAAGAGAAAAGCAAATTAAATTCAAAGTTAGTGGAAAAAAATAAAATAAGTTACAACAAATATCAATGTCCCAACAATGAATGTAACTGTACTGTATCCCTAAAATGTACCAATAAACTCAATTAAACCTGAAAAAAAAAGAAATTGAAAGTAGGAAATCAATAGAGAATGTTGAGAAAAATCAATGGAAATTCTTGGAAAGATCAATAAAATTGAGGAGCACTAGGTTAAGCAAACTGAAAAAATAATTGAGCCTTAAACTAAAATTGTAAATAAGTTTCAAATGGTATAATTGGGAGTGTGAAATAGGGAGAAAATGGCTAAAGAGGAAGTGAGAAGGGGGGAAGGAAATGAGGGAAAAGAAAAAAGTGAAAAAATAGAAGCAAAGTAAATTTGTAAATTTATTTGTAAATAGGGAAGGGTGAAGGGGCTGAAGGGAGTGCAGGGGTATGGGGACAAAACAAGAACCAAGGTACACCATGTACAGGTACCAGACACTAATAATAAATGTAACTGTATTGTTGCTTAAAATGGACCAATAAATTTAATCTTAAAAAATGAAACAGAGGACATCAGATAATAAGAGATAAAGATAATAAGAGGATACTACAAAAAATGTATCTCCACAAATTTGATAGTGTAAATGAAACAGCAGTTAGTTGAAAGACATTACCTGCTAGTGCTTGCAAGAGAAGAAACAGACAATGTGAATAAAACTATTAATTCTGGAAGTGTTATCGTGGAATTTTGAAGGTCTTGTGTATAGAAGATCGTGTCATCTATAAATAATGGTAATTTGACTTTTTCCTTTCATATATGCATTCCTTTTGTTTCTTTCTCTTGCCCGATTGCTCTGGCTAACTTCTTGAGCTAGTTTCAGAGTGGTTATTATTTTCTGAACTTTATGGCATCCAAACATTTCACCTTCTTCATTTCTAGTTACACTGATTTGAGTCTTTTATCTCTCTCTTTTGGTAATTTTGGCTAAGGGCTTATTGATTTAGTTAATTTTTTCAAAGAACCAGCTCTTCAATCTGTTGATTCTTTGTATTGTTTTACCCTCAATTTAATTAACTTCCACCCTGATCTTCATAATTTTCCACTTTCAACTAGGTTTGAGTTTGGATTGTTGCTGTTTTTCAAGTATCTTAAGATCCATCATAGGTTATTTATTCTAGATAACTGCTTTTGTATTGTGAGCACTGATTACATTGTATTTACAAATGAATTACAAGACTTAGAAAGGTTTGTCTTCTAGTACAAGATGAAGAAAAAGAGCATCAGAAAAGAGCAGACTTGTCTCCTGATATCTTTTCCCTTTTCCACTAAGGACACTGTTTTTATATGCCTGTTCTCCATAACCCTCCTAATTATCCATTCATAATTTTCACCTTTCTGGTAGCTTTGGTCAGCCTGATGCAATAAAGTCCTTGCTTGTATCTGATTAATTATTGAGCAGAGGAGTAGCTTGCTTTTTTGCAGTGCTAATAGAAAAAGCACAAGTTAAGTTTATTACAGTTGGGATATTGATGGCTAGCAAAGAAAGGGAGGCCTAAGAGAATAATACTCTGCAGGGTGGTGAAGTCCTACATCATACGATCTTGTCTTAAAATATACCTCTGAGGATGTCGAGGGGCCTTTTTCATTACCTTTATATGAAGAAGTTACTATGAAAAAGGATGGGGATGCTTCATGCTAATACATGGACTCTTCTAACAGGTAAGTAACAGTTCATTTCTATTTTTTTCAGACAGAAAGGCGTCACTAAAAATTATCTAGCATGATTTTAAACTTTAATTCCATAGGTCTCCTGAATGCACTATTCTCACTTACTCTGAAAAAGAACAGAAAAAAAGAACAACCCAAATTTTGTTTTAAGAGAGTATGATTACTATATAGAAAATAACTGAACACAACTGTTAGAAAAGAAACCGTTGTATCTCTAATAGCATTTTACAAGCACCAGGCTTTTGAACACTTTTATTCCAATGCAATGTGGGAAGCGAGGGACAGATGCACGGGTTCCATAAGACTTACTAGAATGTATTAGATAGCAGAGTGCAGAAAAGCTAATCGGTGCTTTTGAGTTAAGTAACTGGGCTGAAATCCTCATTAGGTGCTGTGGGTCCCAGGCTGTTCAGGAACCAGAGAAAGGTACATGGCGATCGTAACCATGACAAAGCTTCTGTTCGGCAGATCCTTTTCGTCTTGCATTGATCATTTTGAGGAGAATATTGTGTTTTACAGAACTCAATTTACTGCTGCCTGTTTCCTACATCGTATCATCGGTGAATAATTTGTAGTCAGCACACCTCTAGAACATACTTTGAAATGTTTTCTGACTGTTGCTCAGAGCAAACGCGAGTCGTTTTGCAGTATAGACCCCGTATGGCGAAAGTGATGGCAGTGTGACGTATATGGACCAAGGGAATTGATGAAAATACTTGGGTGGGTTCTCTTTTCTTCAGCGTTTCTCCCTCCCACGGTTCTCCCACGCATCATCTTATCTACCCTTGTTTCTCCACAGCCCTCCTATCCTCTTACAGAGTAATAACGAATATTAATTCTATGACATTTGGGAGCAACCGGATACACGAAGTGTAGACAGTATTGAACTCTGTGGTGACTTCGGAGTCTCATGCCAGGGAAATTTCTAGAGCATCCCCTGACCAAACCGCAGGCACCGCCGTATTCAGTTACACAAAGAAAGGGGCCTGAGGCGTGCCAATTGCGTCACACATAAGGGGCTAAAACTGCATGAGACAACACATTAACCTCCCACAGAGAGCGGCTCCTTTGTTCACAGGCCCAAAGGGAGGGCAGGGACTCTGAGTGGGCAGGCCGGGAAGTGTAGGAGCCAGTGCTCAGGAGCAGAAGGGCTTCTCACTGTGGCTCTGTGAGTGAAAAGGGAGCAGGGACGGGGCCCCCTGATGCTGCTCCCCCTGCCTCTTACCCACATCAGCACATCTTCTCTTCCTCATCTGTTTCATAAACGTAGAATTGAAACAAGAGCTCCTGTGTGTTTTTATATTTTTAAATGAAGAGAATAAGATTAAATCATATACCTTGATTTTACATTGATTAAAGCGGCAAATTTATCAGGATATGTGACGCTGAATATGGTTACATCCGAGAATTTCACAGATGGCATCTCATCCATAGCTTTATTTGAGTCTCACGAGACACAGCTGAGTGGTCACTAGCAATTGGCAACTGACGGTGACTTATAAGAAAGCGCAGATAGAATGCACCCAGTGAGTAACATTATCATTGT